CACCGCAACAAGCCTGTGCACCGCAACTGGAGAGCAGCCCCCCCTGCAACTAGAGAAAAGGCCTGTGCAGCAGTGAAGACCCAGCACAGCCAAAAATAAATGAGATTATTAAAAAGACAGAAAGTCAGACTGAACCGTTTTAGGGATTTTCTTTGGCAATGGGTGTTAGGGTGGTGGAGGAAAAAGGAAGATGTTGATCAAAGAAGAAAATCTTCCAGTTATAAAAGTTCTAGGGACCTGGGAATCTAATGTATAGCACATAATGATTATAGTTAGTAATAATGCATGATACACTTGAACTACTGAAAAAAAAAAGGAATTTTCTTTGGAAGTTAGAAATAAGGCCAATACTGTCCTGTTCTTTATAAGAGTTGACTTAACTTGTTCTATGTCAAAATACAGCACTACCTTTTAAAATAACCAAGTCAACCAAAAACATATTTTCTCTGAGGGAGTGCCTGGCACTGAATAATTACTATTAGTCTGTGTGAAAGTCAAGTAAAAACTGACTAGCACCTTAAAACTCATTTTAAAACATAAAGTTTTTTCTTCTAACATTATTTACAAAATATAGCATCATGCTGTCACATTATGGGAGAGAACTTCCTCTTGTCCTCCGGCCTCTTCCCAACCTGAAAATTCCCTAGAGGAAAGGCGACTGGGCGTGTGGGGAGCAGGTGACAGAATGTTAGACAATAGTGTCTTCCAGGCACTAGGGCTGGCACTGGTCTTTGGCTTTTTACTCCCCCCTTTCACTTTATCTCACTTCTCAATTTTATTTCACTGATTACCTTTCACTCCCATTTTCAAGTTAGTATTCCTTACCAGTACAGGTGTGACGGTATTTGTCCATGAAAGGCCCACTCTAGCACTAACAACTGAAGGACAGAATATCTGTAACTGAATAAACTTAGTGAAGAATTTAAGATATAACCATTATGAGTAGCTTGCTCTCTGCTTTCTTTAAATTTAAGTTTATTCTCTAACAATTCTGAACTTTCACAAGCTTCCAACAAAACATAAGGTTGTCTCCAGTACAAAATTCTATTTCAGTTTCCAAGTATGCATTTAATAAGGAAACTTGAAAAAGGAAACCTACTTGTAGCATGTAATTTTAAAGATATAATTAGATGGTTTAATGTAAAATCAGAACTGAAATCAAAATTTTCTTTTAATCTGAAAGCTTAAAAAAAAAAAAAAAAGAAAGCTTTAAAGAAATATCCCTGTACTTGACTCCCAGAGACACTGTCAAGCAAACCATAAGCTTTAATAAATGAAAAGCTAAAGTAAGTGGAGAGTTACTCTAACTGTAACTGTGAGGAATATATATGGGCTTCCCTGGTGGCTCAGGCAGTAAGGAATCTGCCTCCAGTGCGGGAGACCTGGGCTGGATCCCTGCGCAGGGAAGATCCCCTGGAGGAGGACATGGCAACCCCTCCTGTATTCTTGCCTGGAGAATCTCCGTGGACAGAGGGGCCTGGGGGGCTACTGTCCATGGGGTCGCAAAGAGTCAGACATGACTGACTGACCAAGCACACACAGCACAGCATAAATAATATTAATATTATGATTTCCTGCTAATTGACATTTTACTACTGCTTAACAAATTTTTCTGAAATTGGAGCATAACTTCACAAGAACTAAACACACAAGAATCTAATGATTACAGGGAAAAAAACACCATTGAAATGCTTAATAAATAGACCACTCCAAATTCTCTACTTCACAGAGCTACTTATATGTAACCTCCACATCAATTTGAGGCACTCTCTTTCACCATTTTACATATGGAAAAAATACTGTAACTGACCAGGACTTTTAAAAAATCATTTTGAAGCTAAATTTCCTTTCTATTTTTTCTTCTCCCTCACTCAGAATGTCCCTTTAATTTGCAACCAACAAAAACAGGATATATATTTACAAACCATAAGGAGATAACACCAGGATCCTAGGAAAAATGATCATAGTACAGTCTTATTTTATTTTAGTGTGAATAGTGAAAGTCGCTCAGCCGTGTCTGACTCTTTGCGACCCCCACAGATTATAGAGTCCATGGAATTCTTCAGGCCAGAATACTGGAGTGGGTAGCCTTTCCCTTCTCTAGGGGATCTTCCCAACCAGGGATCAAACCCAGGTCTCCTGCATTGCAGGCAGATTTTTTACCAGCTGAGCCACAAGAGAATCCCTTATTATTTTGCTGCATAATAAAATGGCAGAGGAGGAAGACAATACTTAAGTAACACCATGGTGACCACTGCCACGTGCTCTTTAGCCCCCTCTACTTCAGGGCTTCATGGTCTTGCGAGGAGATGAAGACTACACTGTTCACACCTCTCTGCAGACAGACAGACCTAGTTTGAGGCTAATGCTTTGTTCAGATCTCAATCAACTCATCTGCAAGATGGAGCCAATTATCTCTACATTGCAGGATTGTAGGGAAGAATAAACTGAGATAAGAACATGTGCTCAATGTTGTTAATGACAACTAATTTTTAGAGAGATTTTAGCATTTGCCAGACACTGTTCTAAGCTCTTGACAGAGAACACCTTCAATCCTCAAAACAACCATGTGTAATTGTTACTATTATTCTCCACTGACAAGATGAGTAAATTGAGACTCAATGAGTTCAAGAAACTTGTCTAAGGTCACAAAGTTAGTAAGTGACAAAATCAGGGTTTGAATCTAGAAGAAATGATACAAAAAAACCCACAGCTTTAGTTAAATAATGTAAGGTGACAGAAGAAAAGCCATAAATGCTAAATCTTTTTGATTTTCTGATTTTTTTCTTTTTCATCTAAGGAAATGGGATTTTCAACCAATGCACCTAATTGCTCAGCAGAACAAAAACGGGAAATTTAGGCTGACAACATTACACAAAGTAACGCACTTTTGAACTGTGTAAAATTAGGATCATAAGATTAAAAACTGAGACATATGTAGGATCTGAATAACACAGGCATTAAATCATTAGAATACCAGGGCCTGGGAGCAGTGGCCCATCTGCAGCAAGGGCCATCCATACGTTAAGATCCTGGTTCCTAAAATGCCCTTCTCCACTACAGGTACCAGGACTGAAGCAAATGGTCCATCCCAGGCTGCAGCAGCCCAAACACAAGATGAGCTAGGAACATCTGAGTGAGGACTTAACAGACTTAAAATAAGTGCTTAAAGATTCATGAGAACATTTTTAAAAGACAGCTTGAAGGAGCTGCCGCTGGCCAGGTTGAGGACAAATTGCTATTAGAATAACTAATGACAGTAATGGATTATTACCCACTGAATAAAACAAGAATCCACGAGTCATTATAAACCCAAAGAAATCAATAAGGGAGAAGAGAAAGCTCTTCTTTACAGTGAAACCTGAACACAAAGAAGGAATGTTAGAACTAGAAAATCTCCAAAGAATGTTCAAACTACTGTATGCTAGTTTAATAAAGAACAGGATATTTATAATAGTATCAAAGAACTTCCCCACAAATTACTTATTAATTTCAAGGGAAAAGAGAAGTAACTTTACAGTTGAGAAATCTGGCAGACACCCTCTTAATCAAGTCATCAAAGTTAACATCATCAATATGGGAACAAATCAACATCATGTGCCTCTTGACAGAACACATTACTTCAGTGGTAATCTTGCCAAAAATGTGTGATTTCCATTTAACCAAAAGTGTCAAAGTCAAGAAAAAATAAAGAAAGGTTAAGGGACTGTTGTAGGTTGAAGAAGTCTAAATAAATGGTGACTGAATTCAACACATGACCCTGGATTGGATCCTAGGACATGGAAACAGCTATAAGAGATTTTATTGAGACAACTGTTAAGATTTGACTACGGACTGTGTAACAGATATTAAGGTAACAGTGACTGATTTCCTGATAACTATATTATGTTTGTGCTATATAAGTCAGGAAATACAGTCAGGAAATACACATTGAAATATTTAGAGGTAAAGGTTCATGGTATCTCCACCTTACATTCAAATGACACAGGAAAAATGTATATAGAGAGGATGAGGCAAAAATGGTTTATTTTGGTATAGTATATATGGTAGTTTCTTCTACTCTCCTGTAAGATTGAAATTATGTAAAATAAAAAGCTACCAAAAATTCACAAAGATAAATGGGTATCTGGATTTTAAGGGAAGAAAAAAATACCATCCTTCTGGAACCCTTTACTTTCACCCTGCCCCCACAAATCATGCATAAGGATTTGAATGCTTAAAAAATGCAAAGGAAACAGAAAGCTCTATTTAAACAGACTGTTTACAGAGCAAATCCTTCCACTCAGTTATAAAGATAACAGAATCGTGGTCATGTGTAATTTGAAAGATCAGCACTTATTGATTCAGTCTTAAAATATTAGAATTAACAGGGGAACTGAACTACTTAAAATTCAGCAGTTATACTGATCAAAGGCAGAAAAAGATACTAAACAGGCTGCAACACATCATCACATGCACAATTTCTTCAACTAGCAAGATGTAAACTTCTACTTCAGGAAGTAGGAAAACAACTACAATTTTGGGGTCTTCAAAATATATGACAAGATGGGCCACAAAGAAAGACCTCAGAGAAACGCTTTCCAATTTTTACATCAGTTTTATAAAACTCACATGATTCATTCATTTGATTATCCCAAAGTGGCATGCAAAGCAGAAAATAAAACATTCCTAAAAGGGTGCTACAGCAATCATCAGCCAAAAGCATCAGTCAGGACTCATTCTTTAGCATGTGGCATGAGAGGAAATAAATTTCTGAAAGAAGAAAGCACTCTATCATCATGAAAAATGCATTGTTACTTACAAAATGGCAACGATGTCCAAAAGAGGAAACACAGAACAGACAAGCAAAACACGGCCAGTGACCCCCACCTTCTGTAACCCAAACCAATCTACCGAGCTAAATCTGCAAAGACACACCGGTTTAGGGGCGAGTGAGACTACGGACATAAAGAGACAACGTGAGAGGGAAGTTCAAGAGCTGGGGCGCAGCTGAAGCAGACCTGCTTCCTCATCCTCCTCCTCCTCTTCCTCATCATCGGAAGCTGATGACAAGGGAGCTGCTGCGAAGCTAGCTGGGCTATTAGCATATCCACCATACTGCATGCCTGCAAAGTGGAGAGCACAAACACGAGAGTCAAACCAACAGGAAGGATGAGAAATACAACTTTGACATTGCATCAAAAGTGAGAAACAACTCTGACATTCCAAAGAACACCCCAGCATGCATATTAATGTTAGCTAATTTATAACCAAAACTGAAACTGTTAGAAATCTCTGCGAAGCAGTTTAGTAAAAGCAGCTTTAAAATGAACTGGTTTAAGTGTAAAAAAAAAAGAAAAAAAAAAGAACCATGTCTGACATCGATAATATTTAGGAAACTCTACTGATATTCTCTGAACATTTTACTGAGCTCTACACATGTTTACCTTCTTTGACCTTGGGGCCCTTGTGGTATACTTCCTTTGAGACCATGTATTCTTGGTGAACAGCGATCGTTTCCACTGAAATGAATTTGTATAGCATACAACACACATACAAATACTTGGTACCTTCCTTCTGCTAATGCCACCCTGACGGTAACTCAGTTCTCATAACGGAAAAAGAATGACAGTTAAAGAAAAGAACTGTATCTAGCACAGTTTTCTGCTCAGAGTAGATGTTCAAAAGAAAAAGAAAAAAAAAAGAGGGGGGTGCTTATTCACTGTGGCCCTACAAGACAATTAAAGCGAATTTTCAGAGACAGTAAATAATCTCAGCATCAGCCTACTGCCTATGTGTGAGTCTGAATTAAGGAAGGAGACTGGTCTGCAGTGTGAGATACAGCAAGAGAAGGCAGCCTGTGCAAAAGGCACAGCTGGTAACTGTAGAATACCTCCCTTTAAAACAAAAAAGTTGGCTGCATATTTTTATTATTTAATTACTCTAGCAAAATCAGGACAAAAAACTCAGATACACAAAATTTTTAAGAGGGAAAATTAAAAAAAAAATACATATACACACTTAAAAATACATACTCTTCATAAATAAGAATAAACATCCTTACTAAGAAAAATCTTAGAGCTCAAGTTGAAAAAGAAAAAAAAAAAGAATCCAGAAACATAACGTGGATTTTCAAGAACATTTCACAGTATCAGAAGTGCAGTGATGCCCTGCCTCACTAAAAAATCATGTGGTAGTCCTCTCATGCTCTTGTTTTGTTTTTTTTTTCAGGTGACCTTCTTAATTAGCATGGAGAAACATAACTCATGTGTATAATAAGAAAAAAATTTTAATGAAGTAAAGTCTAAACTTAGAAGACAGCAAAAGTTAAACTGTATATGAGTAAAGCTTTGATACTTATGACTAAAGATGTCATTGACAAATCTGCTAGCTTTGCTGAAATACGTTTTAAATACAGATAAAATGGCAGTTATCACAAATTCACCTGAAAAAGTAAAAATCAGTGCAAAGTAAGTTCAGGCAACACAAAAAATTAACTTGATACCTTGAAAGACCAAATTCAGAGTGGCAAGTTCCTCTAATAAAAGCCTAGTTAAAATGAAAATTTGACTAATATTAGACTTTAGGCTAAATACACTAAGAAGTTTATATTTAGACATGTTAACAGTAAAAATATTTTATAGAAAAATTGTTCAATTTAAGGACTTCTTTAAAAATGAAATACTTTCTCAAAACACCAATTAGCACTGCACTTTAAAAAGTACACGTATGTGTATGTATATAATAAGAAACAAGAGAAAGAAGAAAACAAGAAATTTCCATCTACTGTGCTAAGCTAAGAGAGGCCAAAAAACTGGAAGAAAATCCTTTCTTTTCATGACTGTGTAGACTGTTGATTTTATATCTAATCAAAGGAGTCAAAGCATAGGGCAAACCTATACGTGTTATAAGATAAATGTTTTCCTCTTTTTCCAGATTTATTGAATAAAAAACAGACTTCATGTATTACTGGAAAAATATCCAATGCTGAATTGGAAGCAAAAAAAAAATTTTTTTATAGAGCAATGCACTGGGTTAATGCACTGGAACAAACCTAAAAATAAGAGGTAACAGAGTAATATTATTTATTATAATATCATTTTAGATCATTCAATGGTTGTCAACATACTATATTACCTGAATGTCACACAACATACTTAATTTTACTGTTCTAAAAAGATGCAATCTTTTTTGAGAAGTGCTAGAGATGAATGCATCAATACTTAAGCTCTTTCCCAATTATGACTCAATCTGCTCTGAATTTAACCTTTCTTTGCTCCTTTAAGTAAACTCTGTTAAGCTCCTTTAAGTAAACTCTGTTAAAAGTCTAGGAATACTAATGGCACAAGAATATAACAATCTGCTTAATTCACAGAAGAATGGTAAGAGTTCCAGAGAAACAATCCATATGTAAATGCCCTGCTCGAGACTGTATACAGTACACTGTAGAAATGTACACGGGGTGCCTCCCACCTCAACCACCACCAAACAAGGAAGCAAAGCCACATTCCTAGTTCATTCTGTCAGAGCTTCAAGGCATAAATCTAGGAAACCAAGAGGCAGAACATTATTTCACAGACTGAATGACATGATAAAGAACCTGTTACTAAAAAAAAAAAAAAAAAAGAACCTGTTACTAACAGGTCACCAATATTTTAAAAAAGACATCCTCTTTAAACTACCTATCATTAAAGGACTCTCTTCAGAGAGTTGGAGTTGCTTAATAAAAGGCATCTTTACTGTTCCCTAGATACAGTTACACTGGGAATAAATAAAACCAGTCTAAAGAGAAAACAAATCCTTTGGGGAGGCTAGCTTTTTTAAATTCAAGAGCTCAGACATTTGAGCAACCGTTACCTTTTCTAATCTAGTCTTCTAAGTACATACACTAGAAGACTTTGCAAGGGTTCCCACAAAAGAATGGTTTTATGGGAATCACTTTCCACAGTATTTTCTTTCCTATACTTAATCTATCTAAGAAAGTACCTGTGTTAAGAACAGACTTTTTCTCAACGTACAAAGGAAACACATTCCATCTAAGAAAGTACCTGTGTTAAGAACAGACTTTTTCTCAACTTACAAAGGAAACACATTCCCTTAACTTATCCTAAATCTTAATGTAGGAAAGTCTCCTCCTCCTTTAAATGATTAATCAAGGCACCTTAAATCCACAGACTTTCATTTACCTTGCCATACATGCTTCACTTAAAAATTAAACATATCAGAAACAGGGTTGGCTTTATTAATTCAGAAATATTGAAAAGTAGGGTAGTGGGAGTAATGATTTATTTAATGATTCTGCATGTATGCAGGCCCCAACCACTACTATCAAAGAAGCCACTGCTTTTCAGAATTCAATGAGAACAAAGCAAAAACAGTAAGAAATATTAAACAGACAAGCAGCAGGACATTATGGATAAAATGGAGTCTCTGAGTTCAATTCCAGGAAATACCACTTACTAGCTGTGTATCTTTGGGCAAATTACTAACCTCTCTGTTCTTCATTTATATCATCTGTAAGATGGGGCAATGACTACCTCAAAGGGTTGCTGGAAGGATTAAATGAATTAATATATTTAAAATCTTAGAATGGAACCTGAAATACAGTAAATCCTACACAAGTTTTGCTATAATTACTATTGAACTTCAAAACATGTTTTTGTGTATATTTAAATGAAAACAATTATTTTCAACTATTCTTAATACTTATCCCTAGGGCAAGTCATTAGAAAAAGAACCTTCCACCAACCAGAGCAATATTTTGAGTAATGCCAGTTCCTTCAAAAACAAGTAGAATATTTTCTAGGACTACCAGTCTTTTTCAACATACACTGGATTTCTCTCAAAGTCTATGAGATACTCAATAAAGTACTTTATAACCCATTTTATCATAAAATATTTATAATACTTATAACCACTTTATATCTCCTTCTATTTTATACAGTATTTAATTCTTTCTACCTTCTTTTAAAACCAACAACAAAAAATTTAGTAGTAGGTAAACCTATTAGCTGGGCTTTTCAGGTGGCTCAGTGATAAAAAAACTGCCCACCAATGCAGGAGACATGGGTTCTATCCCTGGGTCTTCGGGAAGAACCCCTGGAGGAGGAAATGGCAACTCACTCCAGTGTTCTTCCCTCGGAAATCCCAGGGACAGAGGAACCTGGCGAGCTACAAGTCCATGGAGTCACAAAAGAGTCGTGCACACCTTGGCAACTAAACAACAACAATAAACCTACTAGTACTTAGTGGTGTGTGTGTGTATATATATATATATATAAAATAATAAAAATATATAGTGTATATATATTTGTATATGAAATATATATACATACTGTATATATATTTGTATATGTACAAATTTTTACTATGCTTGATGAAATTAATGGAATTATTTCTAATTCTTACGCATGATTCCTATTTAAATACTAAAAACAAGTCAAATAACAGAGTTTGATAACCACTCTGCACATATTTGGGGCTTCCCTGGTGGCTCAGAAGATAAAGAATCTGCCTGCAGATCTCCTGGAGAAGGGAACGGCAACCTACTGCAGCATTCTTGGCTGGAGAATCCTATGGACAGAGGAGCCTGGCAGATTCCAGTCCATGGGGCCGCAAGCTGGACGTGACTGGAGCAACTACAGTGTACGTGCCTTTTACCACAGGAATACAATGCTTTTTAAGACAATCCTTGCTTCACAAATAGCCTAATATCAGGTACATATTACAATGCTTTGTTTCAAATTTGGCAATGAGAAACAGCATATTGATTCACTGTCTAGTTTTTATAACTCACTATAAAAAAGAATAACTTTGACATTTAAACTTGACAGCTTTTAGTAATTTTGGCTTATGAAATATAAGATGAAATTTATTTCTCAGTGGAGTTTATGATACCTCCTGAAACTTTAGGAACACATTTCATTGGATTAAAAATTAAACCAGACTTTTTGACAAAGAATAAAATGTGTCTCACTGGTTTGAAAATGAGGACTGCCTTTGCCAATTAGGTTATGTGGAGATACTACTACCTGTGAGATAAAAGTATGTGATATTATATTGGCAATAGTATAATGAAATTTACAGTATTTTGAATAACTGCTCACTCAGTAAAACACACACCCCTCTAAACCTCAACTTCTCTCTTATATAAAAGAAATATATGGTTTGTCTGCTTCACCTGATGATCAAGTGAGATAATAAAACCTAAAGGTATTTTTAAATTGTAAACTGCTGCTGCTGCTAAGTCACTTCAGTCATGTCTGACTCTGTGTGATCCCATAAACTGCTACATGAAATAATAATGTTACCAGCTATCTACAACCTGGAAAATAAACTCAGAAGGTTAAAAAACATAAAAGAACAATATTGCTTTAATAAAATCCTTCCAATACCATTCCCATCTACCCTACATGAACAAAATTTTCTCAGTAATTATCTGTACAAAAATAATTATAAATGAAATTTTTCTAAAATTTATCTTATTTTAATAATGAACCATATGCAACCCAGGTACAGAAAGCTATGGTGGGGAGGAGGGAAAGCCATTAACCTCAATGAAAGATGTATTTCCAATGAAAAGGTACTTTCTATTTAAAAAACATCAAAATTCATAATGTTTATTGTTTTCACCAACTAGAAACTCAAAATAACTGTATTGATAGAATAACCAAGAAGAAAAAGTGTTAAAGCTTAGACATCTGTGGGTATAGACAATAACACAAATTTTAAAACTTATATATATATATATATATATATATATGGAGTGTTAAAAAGTTTCTAGCTTAAGTATATATTTTTACTACATTCAAGAGAGGAAATATGATATTAAGAAGAAAAAGGAAAAATGTAAACTTTCTAAATGTTAAAGAAGGGCTCATTTCACTATTTTTTTTTAAAGGATGACAGACTTCATCCCAGTGGATACAACGAAAAACACAACATCTTTGTTTTAAAAGTCAATATATGCAGTACACTGAAAATTATGTAACTGCAAGTATTTAAACTTCTGGTGAAAAATTTTAGATGTCGATCTAAAAATGTTCAAGTAGTTCTAGTTTGCTTCAAAAAAAAATTTAGGAGGTATGCAAGCAAAAATTTGAAGTCTCTCCTCTAAAAACCAGTACAAAATGCTGTGAGAATAACTAAGAAAGGGTATCTCTGAAACACTGGAAAAACACAACCTAAAGGTTGAGAACTATGTTTTATTTGGCGGACTTTCTGAGGACTTCAAGCCTGGAGGCCAGTATCTCAGATAGCTCTGAGGGGCTGTTCCAAAGGGGTAAGGGAAGAGCCAGGATATACAGAGGTTTGGGGGACAAAGACCAGGCAGCTGAACATCAAAAGATCTTAATTAAAGAAAACCAGTTAATGGATGCAGCACTTTTCTACATATGGGAAGACGCACTGAAATCACTCATGTGATATGCACCACCGCTCTGGAGGCCAACGTTCAGCTCTTGCCCATTCCAGCTCCCTCAGGCGCACCGCTGCGGGGTGACTGTAGGGCTTTAGGGCCTCTGTCCTGAGTTCCCTCAGGGCTGACTGCTGGCGGGCAGCTACAGTGCCTCGGTGGCTGCCCCATTCTTTGCTATATAGCAGGCAACATTTTTCATTCACAGGAGAAAAAGACTAATCTCTTTCAAGTATCAATATTTCAGAAGTCATATCAGACCCATAGCATACTGTACACAGCTGTGGCCTGCACAACTGCAGAAGTATCAGCCCCATAAACGACTATGTGCCCAACACACCTGGTGAGAGAACCCACACAGACCTGTGTGTAAATTCCAAACCAATCCAAAGGCAAAGAGACCACTCAGTACCCAATCTTCTACTTCAGAAAACAGAACAATAAGAGCTGCAATTGAAATGTCTCCAGTATTATCTTTTCTGTTACTTATTCAAGGAGCGTTATCTTGGGTAAGATAAGCGCTTAACAGCTGACAAAAACAATAATTCAGCCTCATAGACACGGCACAAGATAGAAAGGTGAGAGGTAAAGATCTTTCATTCTACTACTCCGTAACTTATAATCTTGAGCAAGTTACCTAACTGCTGTTGAGTGTCACTTTTCTCATCTGTAAAACCAGGATGTCTACCTAGTAGAATTGATAAGGGAATTAAAATAAATTGGGGGGGGGCAATGTAAAGGGCCAAAACAAGCAAGATATGTAATATCTGGAAGGCGGCCATCAATGGTTAGGAAACACACCACTCATTTAGTTAGGGCTCCTACCTACCCTTAAATTTCTTCTACTCACGATAAGTAAAACTCTCCTAATAGTCCCTCACTTTGAAGGTAAATGCTGTAATAACTAAATTCTATTCCTAAAACACCTACTGCCTTGTTGGGAATCAATGGACGCCCTTTGGTGCTGCAGTTGGTGTCTCTTTTAAAAAAAAAAAAAAAAAAAGAGTAAGAAAATCTATAATGTACAATCCAATCAAATGATAGAAACCACAGGAACACTTAGCAGATAAGAGCACTGAGACAAGTCAAAGGATTTATGTTGCTTTTTCCAAGTTTCAAACAAAAAAGGGTTCTTCAGACTCAAGGAGAGGGGTTGGCATTACATAGTGATACAGTGCCTAAAACATTACTAATGATTATAATGGGAACACAAAGCACATAACCCGAGAAACAGTTCTCTCTCATCAAATGATAAATACAGTATATTAATCTGAAACCTCAACAGATTTGGAATTTTAGCCAGATAGAAAACAAATCAAGAATACCGCCAAAAGAAAAGGCATTGTGGGGAAACAGGGTTAAAAGAACACCTGTCACTTAACACATGCAAACCATTAAAAGAGCAGACAAATAAACCATATTGTTTGTCAACAAGGTAAGAGTGTGGCTTACAATTTCATTTTCATCCTCTCATGCTCAAAACTGGGTCAAAAGTTACTTTCTATTAATTATAATGACAAGCAAAGAAGTCATCAAAGAGGATATGTAAATTCACTAAATAAGGAAATCTTGGGTGTTTCATCCTAGAAGAAATAATAATAATCTTAAAAAAAAAAAAGAAATGAAATGGTCCATAATAGAGGGATGATTAGTAAATTATAATATACTAACACAATGAATTAGTCATCATGACTACAAAACTGTACAGACATATGTGGAGAACTGCATAATTTAATAAATGTAAAAGCTGAATACAAAACATTATGCAAACTGACCACAATTATATATAACAGATTTAACAAAATTCTACAACATATATAAAATCATAAACAGAGGCTGGAAAATATTAAAACATAATCGTCTGAATAGAAACTATAAATTATTTTCATATTTTCTATAAATTATGGTTATTCAGTTTGACTTTTTAAAATCAGTTATTTGAATTAGCATGTACGTATGTGTATGTATGTACTATACCTAGTATAACAGATTTCTCAAATACCTTTCTGCTGTAATAGCTCTGACGGCTGTGTAACCGAGGCCACAGGCTCCACTGGACGATTTGCAGCAGGAGGCATTCTAGCTGTCGAGGCTCCTGACACAACAGTGGATACGACTGGGCTGGATTTAGGAGGCTGAACATTTTGCATTACAGAACAGGACAAGGAATCTGCAACTGAAGACAAGAAACTGTTTCATCCACAGCAATAAGCTTGAAATACATTAAAATACCAACAAAACACAGTTTATCTGAAGTTCTTGTAGAAACTTCAGCAGCATCACATTTATCTAGTATGTCTGTATCTAGGAAATAATGGGTCCAAAGAAATGATTTTCCAAAAAACGAAAAACTTACTAAATGTTTTAATAACCTTTAACAGCAATTTTCCTAAAACATTTCACAAGCTTCCAAACCTTCTTAAACAAAATGAACCCCAATGATTTTTACTGAAGATCACTATTATTAATCTGAATTATTGCACTATGCAGTGGTACCTCAGAGGATAGATGTAGTTTGCTTCAACAGTAATGTGATTTTTGAATGATACCAATGTTTCCAGTACTAGCTCAGATCCCATTTTGTTTTGTAAACTGCCACGTCTCATTTGCTGTCTCTAGTCAGATGCCCTGTCTCACAGGTAGCTACTATGGTTAACATTAGGTTGGACTTCTAGAACAAAGTGCATGTGATTCATATTTAGTCTCTGTGACAGCTCAAATTGCCTGACCTGCAAGATCATTTTCAGCCAACCAAGAGATAATGGAAAAACCTATGATGACAACCTAGGTGTTCACTGGTGGAGGAATGGACTTTAAGAATGTGGTGGATCTAGATATATATACATGGAGGTATGATGTGTATGCATTTATACATGTGTGTGTGTGTGTGTGTGTATACACACATACAGTGCATGAATGGATACAGAAAATGTGGTAATAAAGAAAACACACACACATACACTGGAATATCATTCAACCATACAAATGTAGGAAATGCTGCCATGTGACAACAGGAATGGACCCTGAGGTTATTATGCTAATTGAGGTTAAGTCAGAAAAATAGTGTATGGTCTAATTTACATATGGAATCTAAAAAAGCCAAACACAGAAAGTTTTGGTTCCCAGAAGCAGGGAGATGAGGAAAATAGGGAGATACTGGTCAAAGGGTACAAACTCTCAGTTAGGAGTAGGTTCTGGAGCGCTAATGTACAGTACGGCGACTATACTTAGAAATACTGTTATAATATACTTGAAAGTTATTACGACAGTATATCTTAAATGTTCTCACCAAATACACAAAAAAGGCAATTATGAGAGGTGACTAACCCTACTATGGTAGTCATTTTGCAATAAATTTGTATATCATTATGCGGCACATCTTAAACTTACACAACAGTATATGCACACATACAGACAGGTACGTATGTGTATTATATGCATGATATGTGTATATATACATGAACAAACTCAGGTCTAAGACTGAAACAAATGTAACTATATATAGTAACAGAACAAAATGTGATACATTTCCTAATAGTGCACAAATGATACAAATATGAGGAACGGGGAAAGAAGGTGGACTGTGGTCTAAGTACACTGACTGCCACATAATTTTCAGTAAGGACAAATGTCACTGTGAGAGACCAAAAACACAGTCAACAATATTTTTCAGTTCCTCTCATTAAGAAGTGGGAGTCTATTTTCCCACTCCCTGAACTGAGGTTAAACTTTCGACTGGCTTTCACCAGCAGAATGTGGCAAAAGTAATGGTGTACAAGCTCAAGACCTCAAGTTTTGAGAGGCACTGAAGCTTATACCTTTCTGCTCTTGAAAACACTGCCCTGACCCTGTAATGTAAGGAAGCAGATCTGGTCAATGTGGAGAAAAACCTAAGTACTCAAGTGAACAGTGGGCACCAACAGCTACACAGGTGAGTGAAGCCCTAGGATCTTTCAGCCCAGCCGACTGTCAAGCCAAATGAAGTCACAGAAGTCCAGGAAAACAAGCAGAGGAACTGCCCAACCAACCCACAGGACTGTGAAAAATAAAACATAATGCTGGTTTATTAGATAACGGATAAAATCATTCAAAATGTCAAAGTAACAAGAGTGATGAGCATATCTAACAGTACAAGGTAAAAATTAAGAAAGATATGATCACCTAAAATTCAGTGATAGAGGAAAGAAAAGGGGTATGGAAAACAGTAAATATACTAATTTTACCTTTGCTCACATGAGAAACTAAAAGACACTGTATAAAAATATAGAAAATATTTCTGCCTCTGGTAATGACGATCTAGGTAATTAGGACTAAATCTTCTTAGGAAGATAACTTTAAAAACTATATTTAAAAAGATTTTCTTAAAATCATCAAAAATCTAACATGACATAAACTAATCTATGGGGGAAAATCTATAAGAAACTGAAAACTCAAGAGAAATAAGCCCAACACTCAGAGCTGCTTTCACCCTGTGGATATCTGTTGCAAACCAGATCTGCTGTTCTTGGTGGCCCTGCAGAGTGTGAAAAATAAGACATCTCCCACAGTACACCCAAGAGAGGGCGCCTGATACGGCACCCCATACCTTCACTTTTAGGATAATATCTAAAGGGTTATAACCTCAGGACCAGGATAAATCAGGAAACCAAGCCTTACAAAAGCCAGCAGCTTTGATTCAGAGCATCTACACAGTCCACTACATCTAGGGCCTTAGACTGGGATAAATGTGACCACAAGCTGGTAGTTCTTGGAGGAAACTGGCAGAAGGAAATGTAAATCCTCCCTGGAGAATGATTCCATCACCCTAGGCCTTTAGAAGGTTCCACAAGCAATTTTTCAGAAAAAAAATTCCAAGCACCAAGCCAGAGAAGCAGTTCAGGTGTGCACAGGGCCCTCTGTGTTCTCCGGTCTCCAGCCTGATACATGGCATCATCCTGGTTACAGTCCTTCACTGTTCTGCCAGTCCTTAAGGGTGAAGACGAAACATGTTATCCTGAAAACTTAAGGGGGTCACCCAGGCCCTGCACGATCCCAGCCTCCTCCGGGTCCGTGCTTCTGCTCTAGCTTCAGTCTTTCAGTCCCTCGAACTTGCTGTGCTCTCTTCCATTAAAGGGAATTTCACGGAATCCCCTTTAGATGTAACAGACTTTTTTCTTTAATAAAATAATTGATACAAATAAGTCTATGCCTTACATATGTGTATGTAGTTATAAAATCATAATAAAAGAAACACCCAGGAACTCAGCATCCAACTGTGAAAAGAAAGCATTTCCAATAGTGCTGACGCTCTTGGTGCACTCCTCACAGAAGGCATTCCCTTGCCTCTCTCCTGATTGTGTTCACTATCCCCTTACTTTTGTTATTAAATAGTTTACCACACAAATAAGTGTCTCTAAACATTATTTCTGCTTATTTTTTAACTTTATCACAACAGCATACCACATATATTCTTCCATGAATCCTATGGTAGACTTCCAGGATTCATTTGTGTTAAGGAGTGCAGTTCTACTCCGCAGTCCACTGGAAGGATATACATTACGTCTCCCTTCAACTACAAGCGGACACCGGGGTTCTGCCTTTTCCTTTTCACATGCGGTACTACAGGAATGCTCACGGACCCGTCCCTGGCGCACATGTGCAGCTTCTCCGGGGCAGCGCTCCTCAGCGCGTGTGCCGCGGCTCAGAAGTGCGAAGCTGCAGCAAGGACTGAGAATGCCCTTGGCCCCAGGGGTAGCCTGTGCGAAGTGAGCTCTTCGGCCAAGGGAACAGACTCGTCTCTTTAGTTCAGAATCCCCAAAATGTCATTTCCTACTAGCACTACACATCTAAAACAGGAAGTGGTGTTCTAGGGCCTCCTTATTCAAAGTGTACTCCACAGGGTAGCAACACCTTAGTCAGAAACTTGATAAAATCCTTAAGCCGGGCCACACTAGCCGTGGTGAATCAAGACCTGCATTTTAACAGGACCCTGGGTAACTCATATGCACAAAGTCTGAGAAGAACACTTCTCCAGAGTACACAGAAGTGGGGCAGCCGTGTTCCAGAGCATGGTTACCTTCAATTCCACTAATGCCCAATTTCCCTAAAATACTGGACCAACAGATCCTCCGACAGTGTCTAAGATTTTTTTTTGCCGTGTTCCAGAGCATGGTTACCTTCAATTCCACTAATGCCCAATTTCCCTAAAATACTGGACCAACAGATCCTCCGACAGTGTCTAAGATTTTTTTTTAAAATTCTGCATCCTTGCCATGCCCTGGTATGGTCAGTCCTTCAAAGTTTCATCATCTTGACACTAGGTATAAGGAGTTTTCCCATTCTAAGCTGCTTTTCCCTGATTATTAATGAGACCGAGTATATTTTCATTTGTGAAATGCCTGTTTGTGTTTTTTTCTTGGTTGTGTATTTTTCTTTTCCTTATTGATCTGTGTTATCTGTGTAATTTTGGATAAAATACTATAATTTTTTTCTCCTAGTTAATGGCAAATAAAGTTCTTAATTAGAAATTAGTAAAGCTCATCATGCTTATTCTTTATGGCTAGCTAACATTGTGTGTAGTATCCTTAAGAAATTATTACCTACCTGAAGGTTCTTCCGTATTTTCTCTGAAAAGTTTTGAAGTTTTGCCTTTTTGCATTTAGATACTTGTTTTATCTGTGATTTATCTTATACATGGAAAATTCATTCTTCAGATTGCAGCTCACATATCAAATATGAAGGAAAACTTTCCTAAGTTCCACGACTAACAGGCCAGATGTACCTAGAATACTCTTCACCAAGCACCATAAATCTCTGCCTCATGATACTTAAATGACAATAGCAATTTTACATTTATTTGCCTTTATTTGGATAATGTTTGCCTTCCTAAGAAGATTACAATTTCATGAGGTAAGGCATCAAGTCTTTTTATTTGCTATTTTATCTCCCAGCACTAAAATAAATGCCTGTCACATAGTTGGCTTTCAAATATCTGTCAAATATATGGAGACAAGTTCCACAAATATTAAAGACCACCAAAAAATATGCCAGAAAAAACCCCAACAAAACGACCCCTTTCATAAAGAGAAAGTGACAAATGAAATATGGTATATTTAGCGACAGAACACAATTCAGAAATAAACTGTTTATCTATTTATTTGTTGGCATTAAGGTAGTTCCCTTGTTAGTTCTTAGCTCCTCAGTGAGTGTACATACAACTCTGTTGGAACTAGGGAGATTAAATTCTCAACTAATAACACTATTACCCATTCAAGCTGTTCAAACTAGAAAATTTAAGTCAACTTCTATTATTCCTTTTCCTTCATAAACCTATCAACCAATTCTTGAAATCATCTCTTGCCACCTGTCTTTTGTCTAAACGAATCCCAACCTATGTTATCATCCTTCATCTAGATAGTTGTAGTTAATTCCTTCCTAGTTAGTCTTCTTGTCTCCAAGTTCTTCCTCTTCCAGTTCACCCACCACACTGCTCACAGAGAAACATCTAAAACACAAATTTGACAGTGTCACCACTGTGCTTAAAAATTTCTGATGGTCGCTGATTACAGATAGAACTAAGCTTATGTTTTTCCTTCACTTCGTCCTTTCCTCTCACCTTCCCAATGCCACGGCCCAGCAGAAACTGGGAAACTGAGACACCAGAAAAGACACCAAAAAAAAAATAACCAATAAAACCAAGTTTTGAAGGAAGTGGTCATAAAGATGGACATTTCATCTTCTGGGCTTAAAGGAGCAAATATAGAAAATCTTCAAGTGGAAGGTACAAAGGTAAGAAAAGATAAGGTTCAAGAGTGCCTATGAAAAACTGAAGGAGTATGAGGGAGCAAAATTATTATTATCTCACAACTCTGCAATCTCAACACAAGTTCCCGAAGCTGAAAATAATCTCTTAACTGTAATATTTGTGCCTTCAATGTAGTTTTCTCTAACTTATTTCTAACTTGATTTCTTTATCCAGGTAGTCACCTCCTAGTATCTATTTTGCTTTTCCTCAGGCACATCATCACCTCAAGATGACAGACATATATTAACACATCAGTGATTATACCTTAGTATCATGTTGTAAGTTGTAGATTTTTACACAAGGATTTTATCAATGTTTATTATTATTATTTTTATGAGTAGATTTTTAAATGCTTCTTTTTAAAAAAGATAAAATTGTACTTGGTAAAATAGCATTAATCAGATAGTACTATTTTACAATATGCCAGCAAGATGTGATCCTTCTTGAACTTGTATTACTCAACCAATTTCACCTCAAACTAGGAAAGAGCTTCTGAACCTTGAGAAATTTACCTATAACGACAGTTAAAAAAAATTTTAATGGCCTAATGATACCTTTTAAACACTAGCCAAAATTGCACCCTAAATGAACTAAACATAGCACTCAAAACATACATCACTATGTTTTTAACAAAAATAATCTGAAATTCTAGTGCTAAATTATATTAATGTGCTTTTCTAAAATTAAAGAGACAAATGAGATAATGTTTAAATGTCTCTTTTATTCCACATTTCTGAATATGAACTCAACTGCCTAAAAGTAACAGCATGTATCAATCACTGTATTTTTGATAATCACTTAACTCGGGCTATGCTTTTGAATCTCAACCCTTCATGAATTGCTGAAGTTTAACTATATTACCTGAAAATGAAACTAATATAATCAAATAATAAAATGCAATCATTCTTATCCATTACTCCAAGATTGGTTTTCATACAAAACCATGCTTAAAATGTAAGATTCTTACTTTGACAATATAATTTAAAAGTGCCCTAAGCAATTAAACTGCTTGTCTTTCTAGAAAATTACAAGCAACATACCTATAGCTCCCAAACCTTGTACTTAGGCACCCAAGTTGCCCTTGCAACAAACTCACAGTTCCAAGGGATGTTTTAAATTTTCCAAGAGAAAAACGGTAACATCTGTCAGAAAACCTTATGAACTATTACTACAGTGCAGTGTGGAGCACTGGAAAAAAGTATTGAGAAACATCAACTGAGGAAGTTTAGGAACTTCTGTAATATTGAATTTTAAAGTAAGTTTTAAAAGTAATCTCTTTATCTCTTTTGAAATGATGACAAGCAATAGGCCATATTAACCTGAGATATATTTAATTTGTCAATTTCTGAACTACAATTAAAAAGTCATTTACCAATCTAAGGAGGGAAACACCCACTTCTTTAACATTAACTTCCCAAATTATATTTATTATGGCTTTCACAATATAGTATTACAATTAAAACAATGGAAATACACTCCCTTCTCTTTGCCTAATGGACTAATTACTAGTCATTCAAATAGAAGGTAATTTTGTAATTATCCTTACTCTTTATTCAATATTTTTTTGAATAGTAGGCCCTTGCCAATAGGTATTCTACTCATAGGCCAAATGGCCCCAACATTTTCCAGTCCTACATCTTAATATAAATTCATTCTGTCCGGTCCTATTCCCATCTGAGAAATAAGATAGGAATTGCCTGACTTTCTTCTTTTTTGTCACGAAACTCATAAAATCCTTAGGTCAGGGGGACCTTAGATAAGCTGATCTGTAAAAGGCTTGCTGAAAGGAGAAAGCAAGCAGGATTTCTACGGGACAGAGAGCCCTGGTTCTGAGACAGGCAGACTGAGAGTCAGAAGAAACAGCTTCAGGACTGTTCCTAGTATTCAGGACTACAGGCTTTCCTAGTCTGTAAACCACAGGGATAGCCCTAGAGCCTGGATTTGTTACCAGACGTCACTGAGAGCCAGTCAGAAATTCAGATTCCCAAGGCTACCCTGGAGATTATTCTATTCTAGCTCAGTCAGCTGGGTTTGAGGGATTCTCTGCAAGGGATTCTGGTGCAGACCCAGATTTGGGAATTGTGACGGATACTTCAAGCTGACTCACCTAAGACCCAGTCAATGCTAACCCCCTATTTCAGGCCTGTCTCTACCATGGAGGCTCCAAAGCGAACTATTTATTTCCTGGCCTTCCCTTAAATTAGACATGGTCTTTTAAAGCAGCAATGGCAAATGACATGGAAAATGAAGTCTGTCAGTGCCACAAACCCATCGTCTTTCCTCTCCCTTCTTTCTGCTTTTAATTTTGACAGGTATGTAAGTTATCTTGTTTCTATAAACCAACATACTAAGGATGGCAGAGTGGAAAGAGACAAAAGACAATGAGGACATCTGGATCTGCATCTGCCTAGACTTCTTGACTCCTTGCTATGTGAGGAAAATAAACACCTTTTCTGTTTAAACCACTATTAGTTGCTTGTAACCCAAGGCGTTTCTAAATAACATATCACTGAAAGAATAGGCGATCTGAAATGTATAGTTCAGATCTAATATTCTAAAGGTCTAACTTTAAATAATCTAACTGTCCAGGGAAGGATACTTTTCTACAACATCCTTGACATATGGCTATCTAAACTCTGATATACAATCTAGAGACATCATTCATAAAACTATCACAGATTTCCAATACTCATTCTTTACATACTGTTTCATTCGGTTCAAGAGCAGATTTTGTTAAGGTCAAAGTGACAAGATGAATTAAAGTGAGTAAATTTTATGCAAACCCCACACTAAATAAACTACATATATAGCTTGTGTACATAACTTTTAAACAAATAAATTTAATCATATCTTGGTCTAGGAAGGTGAGAAAAACTAATTACAAGGGTATTCTTCATGTATCTTTCTCCATCTTTACTGTCCTTCATTCAACTTATCTATCTGGGGCTGAGAAAACATCAGCTTTAATGCATAGGAAATACATCTTCTGTGAAAGTTGCAAATAAGGGTTCACCTAACCAGTTTGGTATTTCAGACCATAATTTTTTCTACAGAGAACGGGGCTATGGCTGGAAGAATAACTGTCCCAAAGTTGAACTAATATAAAAAAGAAAGAAGCAGCTAACAAAGTGAAGTCGCTCAATTGTGTCCGACTCTGCGACCCCGTGGACTGTAGCAGCCCACCAGGCTCCTCCATCCATGGGATTCTCCAGGCAAGAATACTGGAGTGGGTTGCCACTTCCTTCTCCAGGGAATCTTCCCAACCCAGGGATCCCACATTGCAGGCAGATGCTTTAACCTCTGAGCCACAGCTAACAAAACATATCCTCAAATGGACTTTTACACTGTGCCCTATTCCGAACTCACATTAAAGACAACTACTGCAGAGGCAAGAAAACCTATCAGCAAACACCAACTGAGATCCTAATCGTGGCAAGGAACCACCCTATACAAGGCAGACAGTAAGGTGGCTAACTGTGAACAAATGAAGGGGACAGGTTCAAGGAGATACTGCAAAATTTTACAGTAAATAAAAGCAAATAAATAGCAAAAGTAGGCAACTTGCTGATTTTTCTAATGGGCAATATCATCTTTAACCTTCATGCAATAAAAACGGACTGGAAATGCACTGACTTTCAACCATGCTTTGGTGGACTTTTCCTTCAACCTACCAGTATTTGTTGGGCTGCTGGCTGTAGCCAGGGAGGTGTGGTTTCGAATCAGATTGTCTTGGGTTGATGGAAGGCCCGGAGCTGACCACGAGAAAGCACTGAATCCTGAAAGACTCTGCTGCTGGTGGTACTGTTGTGATGGTGGAGGCGGAAGTGGTGACGGATGGCTGACAGCTGTATTTTGACCAGAAAATGAATTATCTCTAATTGGCCTGACAGTTGGAGCATTCTGTGAGGTAAACATTTGTTGCCCGTATGGATCACCAGCAGGTAGAGAGGGATATGAAATATTAGGATACGCAGCATTAGAAACAGTTGACAAAGCATAGTGACCACAAGTAGAGGGAAATCCCTGAGAAGCTACAGAAGAACTGGCAGAGTACATGGGTGGGCTGTTGTAATGATTCACAAAAGAGGAGAACGGCTGGGAGGCACTCGTATGCAAATGCGATGCGGAGGACGAGGCACCTTGGAAAGATCCCGGAGCGGACCCCACAGCGTGAGGGGCGGGAGGAACCCTGCCATACATCTGCGGAGCTCCCGGCTGCTGGCTGGCTGTGTTAGGAGTCGCCGCATTCGGGGTTGGTACCGTATAGAGACCAGAGTAGTAATCACCACTCTGGCTATCCAATGGCAACGAGGTCATTTTCCCAGGTCCTTGAGAGTAATGTCCTGAGGGAACAATATAGTTTTGAGGCGGCAATCCATACTCAGATGGAACTTGCATTTGATTCTGTGCTGGACCTGAAAAAGAAAAGCAAGTATTGACAGTTATTAGTAAGAAGGCAACTAATTTTCAAGCACAGTTCCCATCTAAATGTTGCCCTAATTTACTTCTTCATAATCCCAAACTGCTACCAGAAGTTATACTCTAACAGACCTGCCGTGGAAGTCAGGCTCCACGATGGCGCCCAGCCGCCTCCACGCTCCGGTACTCATACCCTCGCACAGTACACCAGGATTGGACTGTGTGACCAGCAGCGTACAGCAGAGGTAATGATATCACTCCCAAGACTTGTCCTGGCTCAGGCACTGGCACTCTTAGATCTCTCAGTGTGGAAGATCAAAGCTGCCAAGCTGTGAAGAGCTCTCTGGAGAAACCCATTCGGTGAGGAATCGCATTCTCACGACCAACGACCAGAGAGAAACTGAGGTCTACCCACAACCTCAAGAGAGAGTCTGGAAGCAGACTCTTGACACCAAGTAATAGAGTCTTAAAGATAACCAGAGCCCCTGCTGACAGCCTGACTACAATCTCATGTTTGAGACCCTAATCCAGAATTTCCCAGCTAGACTGCTTCATGTCCCTCAGGAAGTATGAGATTAGTACTCCTTGTTTTAAGCTGGTAAATTTTAGGCTATTTTGTCATGAAGTAACAGATAACAATATACCTATCACAGACGAAGTTCAAACCTTTCTTACTGCCCACCCCTTTTTTAATTATAAAACTAACAATATACCTACTATCAAAAAAATTCAAACAATGAAGAACATAAAGTGAAAAGTACAAGTCCCCTTCTTTCCCTGGTAGCTGAAATCCTACTTCCCAGATGTAGTTTAGTTAATGGTTTCTTGTGTATTCTTTGGATACCTATATGTACAATACTGGATACCGATATGTACAATATATGTAATATACATATAAACATATATATATACTTAACCACAAAGACCATACTACAGTTCGGCAAGGATATCCTTCTGTGTTAGCATATATAAGTCTTTATTATTCTTCTAAAAGAATCTAATAATATTTCATTGTAGAAACATAACATTATTTACCAAATCCCCATGATGAATATTTATTCCAGGGAGTGAACTAATTTATGAGGTCAACCTCTGTGATGAATCTGCAGGATAAGTTCCTAGAATTGAAACTGGAGGTTCAAAGGGTTTAGGGGCAATTAAAATTAACCATTATTGCCAAATATCTCCAAAAATGTCTATCAATTTATACCTCTCATCGATGATGCTTCAGAATGCCTCATCTTCCCAACACTGAGTACCATTTTAATCTCTGCCTATCTAATAAGAGAAACATTTTAGCTTGAAGTACTAAACTTTGAGTGATGCTGAGAATCCTTACAAATGTTTCTTAGCCACTTGGGTATCTTTGTTACCTACCCTTTCCCCACAGGATTGTGTGTCCCTTAATAATTTATAAATATTCACATACATTAAGCAATTTAACCATATTATTATGTGCTGCCTGTATTTGCTTCAGGTTACTTAACTTTGTTCACGTAGTCTCTTGCTATAGTTTCTCAACTATCATGTAGTAAAATCTTTCATGCTTGATAAAATTTTAATTCATACTTCATAGAGCCTCCCCTACTCCAATATTATAAAACTACCCATGTTTTCCTCTAGTGCTTTTAATACTTTCATTTTTACATTTATCTTTGATCACTATAGAATGTATTTATTTTATCAGTATCATTAAAGTTACCATAACTTAATATTAATTTTATTAATAGCCTAAACATTACACTTTGTGCCACTCACTGTTCTAATGTTTTACATATATTCAGGCCTTTATTCCTCCTCATAACCACCTGAAATAAAGAGTATCATTATAACTACTTTATAATAAGATAAATAAAACAAAATTTAAGTTAATAAAGTCACATACTTAGAAAGTAATAGGGCTGGGATTTGACTTAGATAACCTGGCTCAAGTCCATGCTTTTAAACAAGTATCTGCTGGCTGCTACACTAAAATCCTACTAGCTTTCTTCAGCCCAGAAGGTCAATTATCTCAAACAACGGAATTCTAGTTTTGGTTCCAAGGGCAAACTTGAATTATCCTAGAATCTAATTTGCTTGTCTTTTGGAATGAAATAGGTATCTGTACCTTACCTCAAATGAAAAGTGAAGGTAAAAGTCACTTGGTCAAGTCTAACTCTTTGCAACCCCATGGACTGTAGCCCGCCAGTCTCCTCTTTCCATGGGATTCTCCAGGCAAGAATACTAGAGTTCTAACGAGATGGATGAAACTGGAGCCCATTATACAGAGCGAAGTAAGCCAGAAAGATAAAGACCATTACAATATACTAACACATATATATGGACTTTAGAAAGATGGTAACGATAACCCTATATGCAAAACAGAAAAAGAGACTCAGATGTATGGAACAGACTTGTGGACTCTG